GAGAGAGAGAGAGAGAGAGAGAGAGAGAGAGAGAGAGAGAGAGAGAGAGAGTTTGTGATCCGAGAATACAATCGAAATAGGGACTCTACGCAAAACAACAAATCAAAAGTTAGAATAATAATTTTTCATCTCAAATTTTGTTTTCAAGAAAGCTAATTTTAAATATTTACCTAGTATGTGTACATTTAACTACATCTCGATTTAATGGATTTCAATATTGAATCACAACGTGTATTATATCTGCTCATAATTTATGTTATTATATTATATTAGATAATCGAGAATACAATAAAAATAATATGCATATTTATGCACGATAAGTTTTATAAATTATTCAAAATGTTCCCGTTCTGTCGAATACAATTCTGCTCTTTAAAGTCAATATCTATGAATATTTTTCAGTGTATTCTAGTCCTTTAATTTATTAATTTAATTTAATTTATTCATTCTTTAAATTTTAGTTCATAAAAATATACTATGGGCTTATGAAATTATTTACCTAATATGTCGAAGCAAATAACATCGCTTGCACTGAGAGATATATGACAACCAACTTCACCAAAAAGCATCAAGATGACAAAACCCCAGAAAGTAGTAGATGTATATAGACATTGATCGTTTTCGAAATTATCACAGGTCACGTTACAATAATAATTCGCTGTTTCTTTGGCATTTCTTTGACTCAACAATGTTTTATTAACATTTAATAAGCATGCAGTGTCTGATGAAATAATTGCTTCCTTGTTGGTTGCATGAAAAGACAATCGCATGGAAAAATTCATATCCCTACATGCCCAATGACACGTTGTATCCTTCGCACCGTTACATGATGCCACAGTTGATATACGCTTAAAATTAAAAAAATAAATAACATTTTTAAATATAGAGTTAAAAGCATGTTTTGTGATAATAGTAATAATTATATATTATTAATAATTTCAGTACTTGTTAAAAATATTGAAATTTTAAGACACTTTTGAATTATATGAAACATCTTTTGATATATCGTGAATAATTTAATTTTGCAAAAATAAGACTTTCAATCTTACAGAAAATTTATTTTTTATTTTTTATCTAGAAAACTTACGATTACAAAATAGTAAAAACTTACATGGTTTGTATCACAAGGCAATAAAAACTCGCAAGAGACATTTTGAAACTCGTGCTCCAGTAGTATTGGACCGGATAGAGGCGGTAAAAAATACATCAAGAAATAACTTGCACCTGTTATGGCGAACAATGCCATAAAAATCGCTTTTCTCCATTCGAGATAATAATCTGCGGCGTAGCCGAGTATTAATTTTCCGATCAAACTTGCAATAGGCACAATCGCGATAATACTACCCATAATCAATGGTGAAATGCCAAGCTGCTTGCCATAAACAGGTAGGTACCTCGAAATGGCACCTGTAGCTAAAATAAGAAAAATGTAATTGCATTTACGAGGATGGTTGATAACGTTATCTATTAAATAATTAATATGAGTAAACGTAATTCATTTGTAATATTTTTGTAGTTAAATTTTTTTGATCTTGAGATAAATATTTTATAATTTTTCTCTCTTACAATTTTCAAAATATTATAAACACTTATAAATATATATACATATAATATCTCTTCCTCTTTTCTAATTTGTCTCTTAAAAATGATATAAATATTTTAGAATAAAAAATATATTGTATGAAATGTTATATTTGATGATTACTCACCCGCCATGAAGAAAAAAAAATGCACTTTTATAGGCAATTCAGTGTAATTAATTTTCATTGTTTATATACAAATTTAATGTGATCAATAAATTTTATACTTAACGTTCTCTCGTAAAAATACACTAAGATAACACTGCGTTCTAAACTGCAAGTGAAGTGTAAAAAAAATTGTTTGGAGTATTAACGAGCAACAATTTTGTATTATGCAATAGAGTATATTATAAATGATTATTCTAAAGTAAAGTTTGTTGCTTCAGTGAAAAATATTACTTATTTGAAATACGATAAGAAATATAAAGGGAGAACCCCGTTTATCTACAAATTGATTATCTACAGCTGATCGTTTCTGAAATTTTCAATTGTATGCAAAAATGCATATAGGCAATCGACCTGTAGATGATAATGGATGTAAGTAATCGATCTGTAAACAAACAAAATGTACACAAAAGGAGCCCACCTATATGATAAAATTAAGCTATAAAAATAAACTGAAAATAAGATATAAAAATTGACCATTTAAGTAATCCCCTCTATATTTATACAGTTCATACATCTATAATTTCTTTTCATGTATTACTTTATTATACAATGTAATTGCGCATTTCGCTCATGCTAAACTTTTCCTATTCATGCTAAACTTAATCCTATTCTAATTTTATTTTCAAGAAACGTTATTTATTTATTTCATAGAAGGATAGTTTTAGATTATGTGATACTGAGTTATTTTATTCTATTTTTTTTTCATTATTTTACTACGAAACGACAAGGGAGATACATGTAATAAATCTTAAATAACGTTCATTACATCGCCAATTGAATATAAGATTAACATTTATTATGTATAACACAAATACAACTTTATAAATATTACTTATATATTTGTAATGTGATTTGCATCTTTTTTATATCACATCATACTTTTATATCGTAACAAATATATTATAAAATTATAAAATATCTTCTATGATAATCTACATATTTTTACAAAAAAAAAATACTTGAAACATGTGTATTACATTTCATTTATAACTCTCTTTGGGCATCGTTAGGTCTTTTCCATTTAACATTGTTTTGTGTGACTGCAATAGAAAGAATGTTTGTTATATTTTTATAATCTAAAAAGATTTTTTGTTGGTAAATCAAGTACCTGATGATAGTGTCATATGTTTTAAGTATAAAGTATAAACTATAATGTACACTAATGCAAAAAATGCTGCTAATCCTGAATATATTTTTAAAGTCATTCGACTACCAACTTCCTTGAATAAGAAACCAGCTGAAAAACTACCAATTGCGTATCCTATAATTGCAACGTTAGTCATTACATATAATAAATCGCTAAATTCCTTTAGTGTAATGTGTATCTAAATTTATTTAAATACATCACTTTTGCGAATTTCTTTTATTATTAAATGATTTTTTAAATATCTAATTATAATACGTACAATAAGAGACCTTACCAATACTATTTTTAACTCCAGCTGCAATTCCTTGAATAGTAGCTGATGTGCCGGGGGGTGATATTATGCTCGCATATGTTACTATTGTTGCATAAAGAAGCGCGAACGATGGTCCTTCCAAAATAACTTCTACCAGAACTACAAACCATGGTATTGACACTACAGACAATAATGCCAATCTCAGTGCATAACATAAAAAACAGAATGTAAGTGTGTAACCATATCCAAACTTTTTCAATAATTCGCCTAAAAACATAAGAACTTATTATCTTCCGGACGAAAAAGTATTTTAATTGTACATATATATTTTAAGTATCAACATATAAACAATTTTTTTAACATTACCGGACATAAAAAAGAATATTACTTTGCTACCAAAAAAAGATGTTAATGTTGTTACACCTTCTATTATTTTAACCTGACCCATATAACCAGTTGCCATAGCAAGATCTTCTATATACCTGGTAAAGTAAATCATTAGAGAATATAATTAATCTGATATTTTCTATGCTTTATTACATAAATAATAAATAAAAACACCATCCTATTGATAACAAAAAAAAAATTTACCAAAATAAAAAGTTAAATATGAGACCTTCAAAAATTCCAGCAGATATAGCGGTACATAGAAATATAACAATTGGTATCAATTTCAAAATTGCACATACACTTTTCAATATATTTGGCGATTTTGATAGTGGCAACTGCAATAAAAATATATAATGGCAGTTAAAACTATATTATTATTAATTAGTAGTGTGTGCGTGTGCGTGCATGTATGCATGCATGCATGCATGCGTGTGTGTGTGTGTGTGTGTGTGTGATATTTCTTTTTTCTTCCAACCTAAATATAGATATAATATACCTTTAATTTTCTCCAACAGTAAAAAAGATCGCTACAAATAAATACAAACAGTAAAATGAATACTGGTGTATAAGTTTTGTAAACTTTTCCTTGCGACCACAAATCTATTGCACAACCAGATACAAAAATTAGAAAAGATATACCGATGGAACCCCATACTCGTTGCCTGCCATATTTCATTTGTCCAATTTCACCTGAAGAGTTGAATTTTATTTAAAAATATTTCTTCTTTATATGACAATACATATTGTATAAAATTGTAAAATTATTTATTGCTAAAAAATTTGATTCATTACATGCACGGAGAGAAGGATTTCTTAAAATTTACCCTGAAAATATAGTAATTATGGTACAATACAATAAATTTAAAGATTTTTACCATGCACTTCAGTAAAATTTATCATACTTATTTTATATTTTATTGTAGTTTTATTAATGAATGTGAAAGATTTACATTAAAATTCTTCAAAATATAATATTGTCCCACGATTACCATATTTTCAGGGTAAATTTTAAGATGTAATTCTTTCCGTGTGATATTCTTTTTATTTTTATATGCTTTAAGTTTTTTTATATGCTTATGAAATTATTACCTAATATGTCGAAACAAATAGTGTCGTTTACGCTGTCGGACACATGATGACAAACTTTAGCAAGAAACATCAAAATAACAAAACCCCAGAAAGTACTAGATGTATATAGACATTGATCATCTTTGAAATTATCACACGTAACATTACAATGATAATTTGTTGTTACATTTCTTTGATACAACAACATTTCATTATTATTTAATAAGCATGTAGTGTCTGATGAGATAATTGCTTCCTTGTTGATTGCGTGAAACGATAATCGTATCGAAAAGTTCATATCCTTACATACCCAATGACATGTTGTATCTTTCGTACCGTTACACAACGCCACTGCTGCGGCATGCTTAAAATTAAAAAAGATACATTTTTAAAGACAGAGTAAAAATATTATGTGTGTATTATTAATTTGTATTAATAATTTAATACTAATTTAACAATTAATATTATTAAAGATTTCGTATCTATAAGCTCTCTTTTTTGAAATTTTAAAACATATTTTTGTATTACATATGAAACATTTTTTTTATACATATAATAAATGCTTTTATTTTCAAGAAACAAGATTTTCAGTTTTTCTCGAAATCAATTTTTTATTTCGGTAAGATAATGTACTACTATTATCAACTTATTGTTAAAAAATTAATATTATATAAATGGACATAATTTTTTACAATATATATAATTTAATTATATGTATACATGGTGTTTTAAAATTTGCGCCCGCGAAGTACAAGACGTGATATTTTATACTAAAACATTTGATACATAAAACATTTTTTGTCGGGTTTTTTTAAGAAACAAAACTTACATAGTCCTCGTCGCAAGGCAATAAAGACTCGTAAGAGACATTTCTAAACTCATGATCCGGTAGTATTGGACCAGGCAAGGCAGGTAAAAAGTATATCAAGAAATAACTTGCACCTGTTATGGCAAACAATGTCATAAAAATCGCTTTTCTCCATTCGAGAAAATAATCAGCGACATAGCCGAGTATTACTTTACCAATCAAAGATGCAATAGGTAAAATTGCGATAATGCTGCCCATGATTAATGGTGAAATACCAAGTTGCTTACCATAAACAGGTACATGCATCGAGATGGCACCCATACCTAGAATAATAAAAGTTGCAATTGTAGAGGAAAATTGCCGATACTGACATAGGTCTTTTAAAGCGACCGTTATTTTTCAGAAACAA